GTTGGCTCAAAAAGACTAGCTCAATTCGTTAGAGTCCGTTGGTGACAGCAATGGAGGGGCTTCCGATGAAATGCTCTCGAAGAGATTGATTAGCTTTCTCGCTCATTGTTAAGTTGAAGATGTGCCCTTCATAGGGAATAAGGGTGTCGGGGGAATCGGTCGTATATGTACTTGCGAGAACCCGGGCCCGATCGCGAATTTTCAACATCGAAGTTTCTGGAGGTGGCCGAGAGCCTTCCCTATTTCGCAAGAGATTCTTTCGATCATGTTTATCGGTTAATCGAGATTTTCCTTAAGGTAATAAAGATTTCTTTATTATTTTTATTCTTTAGCAATTTTATACTTAATTTACCACCCCCTTCAATTTGCTTTTTATTTTTCTCCATTTCATCTTTTCCAGGTTGTTATCTTCTCACTTTCGTATCTGGTGTTAATTTAATGATGGAATGTTTTTCGGGGATCGGGTTGGGGTTAGGGGGTGGGGGGGGGGGGTGAGGGGGGTGGAAATAAATAGAAAGAAATAAGACATAAGACAAAGTATCTGTTTCTCCACTTGGGAATTTGCTAGCAAATTTGAGCTTTCTCATTTTCCAAGTGTATGTATGAAGTTAAAACTTGATACGACGGAAATTTACAGTTTTCACCCCTTAAGTTTGCAATAATTGTACATTTGGTCCTCCATGTTTACAGAAAAACACATTTGGTCCCTCATGTTTCAATAATTCGACACTTTTGGTCATTTCCGTCAATTTACCCTTAGTCCGTCAGTTACGGATAGTGATGGGCACACGTTTGATTCCGTTAGTTTGCACAGAAAATTGACGTAAATGATTAACAGTGTTTGAATTTTTGAAACGTGAGGGACCAAATATGTTTTTTCGTGAACATGGGGGACCAAATGTGAAATCGATTCAAACTTCAGGCATGAAAATTGGAATTTTCCCCTTGATGGAGTGTATTAATTTCTTGATTAACAATAATTAAACCATGTGGCAATAATTTATGTGAAAGAGAGTGTTTAGTACAAATGCATGTGTATTTTATTTGTCTGTTTCTTGTGTCTTTGTGTGCTGTGAATTAGTCACCTGTGAATGCTACAACTCTTGGACAGATACTAATTGTCATTTATCTAAAGTTTGGGATGCACATAATATTCGATTAGCCATCTTGTTTTACTTATTATTTTTATTAAAATACGGTTACCCTTGAGCTAAGGTCAAATTATGAAAAGGTCCCTCATGTTTGAGTAATTATACATAAACCCTTGTTATGTCAAACCCTTGTTGTCCAATTTGTACCTGTTTTACCCCATTCGAGCTCCACATTTTGTAACAAGATGATCATAAGATGTGTCTCTTGGCTTGTAAAGATCAGATTGTGGTGCATCATAAACTTCATTTTTGCACGAAACGAGTACAAACTAGAGACCATTTCATGGAATTTAGAAGATTATGTTGAAATTTGACACGTGTGGACGTGTAAGAGGATTCATAGTTAAGAGGGGTGGTTGTAACTGTTGGGTTTCGGGCACGCATACGCAGCGGAAAACAAAAATTTTACGTGATTTAAACCACTTTAAAGCACACAAGTACATGCCCGACAAATTAAATCAATTAATTGCGTACCTTTGCGCTTCCAGCGAAATTAAAAACAACATACATGCTAATAAATTTAACCGAATTTAAATCAATTAACATGCTCGCAATTTAAACCAAATAACATGCTCGCAACGATTTAATCGATTACACATAATCACATAAAATCATACAAACACAAGCATGAAATCATAGTTTAAATTAAACCCTAAAACGAAACTAGGGTTTCGAGTATTTACCTCTTGACGCGTGAGGTAGGAGCGAACGATTCGTCGTGATTACTACGGAAACCAATCCGTAGAATCGGGGCAGCAATGGAGCAGCAGCAGCGGCGGTGTGGCAGCTCACGGCGGCGCGTGTACAGCACGCGCGGTTGTGCGAGGCGGCGCGTGGGGCAGCGTGCGGCTTCGGCTCGTGCGTTGCTCCTCGATTCTTCGATCTACGGTCTTCCTCCTCTCGGATTTCACCTCGTATACTTCGATCTACTAAATCGTGGCACTAGACACGAAGTAGTTAGAATAAAACGGAAAGAAAATAAAGGAGAAAGAATACCGAACAAAAGCCGGCCGAGGAACGGCCGTTTCCGGCGACGGAGCGGCGGTGGTGGCGCGGTGGTGGCCGCGCGGAAGAGAGGGCGAGAGAGAGAGGGTGGCCGATTAGGGTTAGGGTTTTTGTGTTGTGTGTGTGCTAGGGTTATAAATCATGTATTTATAGTCCCTAGCATGAAACCCTAGCGGGCTTAAGTTGGACTGGGCCCAACAGCTTAAGCTCGTTAGTTTCTTTAATCGCTCGTATCTCTCAATTCAATGATCGAAAAATTGTAACGATTACAATTTCCGAGTCATTATAATTTTCTCGTCATTACGAGTGCCATCTCTTATTTTCCAACTTTCCAAAAGTGGAAACCCTAGTTCAGTGGACTTTCTAAATTTGGAAACTTCCCGATTTAGAAAGTTCACTAACATGTTCGCTTATTCTTTTCCTTTTCTTATTCTCATTCATAATTCCAAATTACGAATGTTGGACTCAATCATATTGACTTCCAATTATGCAAAGATAAACTATTTTATCTCTGACCGTTTATTCAAAGATCTCATGTGCACGAGCAGTGTGACCCTCGATGGTTCAGGTGTAAGCTAGCCGTGGGCCCACAACTCTTTGTGGTCAAAACTCGTCCCCTTCGAGTTACAATTAAGATGAAGCTCGTTTCACCTTAATCACCCAACGAATCAAGATTGGCGTCTAGCAACTACGCGTCATGATTCCCTAGATACAAATGAAGTGCCTGCAAGAACCTTCAGATATAGTTAACGTACAGTACGGTCCCTTCGATTCATATGTCCCGATCGAACTAGAGGCATTGGTTCATCGAGACCTCTTTATATGTTCAATAACGGTGCGATCGTTCTAAGTGTTGTAATCGTTACGTGCATGACTTAGAGAATCGAATCCTCTAATCATCACTTAGTCAGCTCTGGCCAGAGACTTAGAATGAATACAAACTTTCAGAACACACAGGACATCCAAGACTATTCTAGCGATCGAATCCCCGACTACAATGCACAGACCTCCCACTAGATTTCGGACTGCACGAACACTGGCCCTTGGGATGGTCCTCGGTGGAACTCAGGGACAGGTCACGATACAGCTGGTCCTCTAGTGAAGTCACGGTGATGTCTAGGTCATAAGGACTAATGGTGTACAACTATACCATAGATATCTCTACTCGATTATTGGGAACCACTTAGAGATTTCTAGGGTGAGGGAGTTCAGTGAACTCGTCAACTTACGAGCACCCACTTGTGCATGCCGATATCACAATACCGTTTACTGATG